ACACACTGGCCCAGCTAACCAATCACAGCACATTTCGTATTTCAGAAGGCGGTCCTTCATTTGATACAGGAACTATTTGAGTCGTTCATGCCAGACTGGGGAGAGAGGTGTTGTAATAATGTAAAATGTGTGAAAAATAATGTGTTTTTCGAACAACCTAGTATGAGAGCCTGTTCTAGTACACCCCCAAAACAAAATCAAGACTTTGTAAAAGAGCATAATAGGACCCCTTTAAGGACCATTATTATTTTGGCTGGGGTTCGATCACCGGGTCCAGACTCGGACTGCAGTTGGGCATCAGGGTTTGCAGGGCACACACACAGTCGGCGGTTCTCAGTTTCTTGAGGAGCACATGCTGCGTTCATGTGCTCAGAGACGGCAGCACCTCCCTCAGAAACCTGACCCTTCCTGTCCTGATCGATATATCCTGAGCCGCAGATGATGTCGTGACATCAGAGAGGCCGATGGAACACGACCCCGCGTGCCACCTCTCCAAACACACACACTCTCAACCACTAGCGTTTGGACCGGCAGAGACCTACACTGAACCCTACAAATGTTCTTTGGGAAGAACTGATGAAAAAAACAGGTTATCCTTGTTACAGTGTCATTATACTTTTAAGTACTGAGTAATACTAATTACCTACAGTGGTGGCCAAAATTGTTAGAACACCTGACAGATCTGAAAATATTGATTTTTTTTTTTTTTATGTTCATGAAACATGCAGGTGGTTGCTCTGAGCACAACAAATATCAAATGCAGTGAGTCGTAATGTTTTATCCACTTTAAACTGTAATATTTGGTATGTCCACCTTTTGCATTGATTACAGCATCACATCTCTCTGGCATAGTGTCAATATATTTCCTGAGAACTTCAACACTAATGTTATCCCATGCCTTCTGCAGCTCAAGCCAAAGGCTTTCCTTTGAATCTACAATAGATCTGTACAGTTTATTTTCCAACTCGCCCCAAATTTGCACAATGGGGTTGAGGTCCGGACTTTGAGGGGCCAGTCCATCATTTTCAATGTTCAGGTAGCTCCGGCAATAGTTCGTTTTATAGGTATTGTAATAGCCAATTCAACAAAAACAACTGAAACCTCTTAAATATGCCAAGTGCTCTAATAATTTTGGCCACCAGTGTACATGTACTTACTATACGGTTAGCGTTAGGATTAAGGTTACTTGCATGTCATTATGCATAATTAATTGTTATTATAATAGTAAGTACATGTAACATTTGTAACACGGATGCCTTAAAATAAAGTGTTACCAAACAGCATTTTCAGAACTAGACTGGTCAATCCTTCTCAGTTAATGAGTAAGAACACACTCGCATTTGTTGTGAGTAACACTACGGCTGTGATTTAGCTGTATACACAAGGCAGCACTTACTGCAAGTGTGAAAATGCTCATATATTGTGATACTGAAATTAATAATGAATGACATTACACACACAATATGGCTAAATAATGTATTTCTGCAACACAGTCAAGTGGAGTGATACAAACAGTGAAAAGTCCCAGTGCTGTTGGCATTCTTTCATCATCCAATCAGATTTGAGGGCCGGATCTAACTGGCATCTTTGTTAATGACTGTGTATTAATTCTAGTTTGTAAGAGTTCAGTGTGAGATCTCAGCAAACAAACAGAAAAAGAGACTTACTGTGAGATGCTGGAAGAGCCATGCCCGCATGATGTTGGTGGCGACTTTGGGGAAGATGCCTCGTTTTTTCTGTCGCTTTTTTTCCTTGTCTGGATCGTCGTCGTCGCCCGTGCCGGGTGAGGCCACGCTGTTGTCTAAACCATCTCCTGGATAAAAGGAGAGCTTTTTAGAAACGTGGCACACAATCTTAGACATTAACATTACACAAACTTACTGAAACCCTATAAGACAAATTCTTATTTTGCTTGACATCATGCAGGACGGTTGCAAAGACAAAAGCTGCAATGTGATAAACAGAAATGCACAACCCTGCAGCCCCTCCCCTTCCTGTACCTCATTTGCATATCACGTCTGACACTCCTGCGCTTATGCCCATCAGCGTCCGTCTTGTGCATGTGTGAGGGCAGGCCGGGTCTCTTCATAACCTACTTCCCAGACTTATTTTCTTTCTCCTCTGCCATTAATTGTGCATTAGCAAAAATGATTTACTTTTAAAAGTCAGTTATTTTTTCTTGGCCTTGGGCAAAAATGCCTTGAAAGGCTTCCTTCAGGGCATCTAAATTATGTATCTGAAAAACTCCTGCACTATGCTGCGATATTCTACAAATTTACACTTGCACGTCTCTCTGTTTTTGGGGAGACATCAATCACGCGCACCTATATGAGCAATAATCACGCATTAATATTTAAACTAATCACTTTAAAAAGGAGGAAAGAGAACACATCCGATGGGTGGCGTAATCAAATGCAAAATACATGAAGAATACAAGGACAGTTGAAAGCCTTTCCTTCCCCTCTCTGTTTTAATCTATTATTTTTCTCTCTAGTGCTGTTTTATCTCCCTCGCCGTGTGGATCTGTGCTAATGTGGAAGTAACCTCACAGCAAACACCCGAAATCCACGCTCATTCAAACTGCACGTTCAGAGACGCTCAGAACAACACTGGACCGGTGTGGTGGTCAAACGCAGGCCAAACGGAGCGCGAGTTCAGGCGTTTGCTCTAATAACATCAGTGGAGGAGGTGTGTGTGTGTGTTTGGGAGTGTAAACTCGTCTTGTTGTGGTGTGTTATGAGTGGACCACAGCGAGCAGACCAGGCCAAAAGGTGGCCAGATTAATTTTATTGACGTTTCCATTTTCACTGCAATACGATAGCCTACTGCTCACAGCGGCCGGAGCGACCCGCTTGTATTTACAGACCGACCCGTCGCTTCATTACCCTACGGCCCCTGACCGCTCGGGGTGAAACCAGACGCCCCTCACACACACACACACACACACACACTCACTGATAACCAAGTCTATACGTACACAAATTAAACACACACTCATGTGTGGAGATCAGTGTGTGTTCAACAGATCTAGATCAGATTAAATCAAGTACAGAGAATGAAATGTACACAAAATTGCTGAAATGCAGTGGACATTCATTTCATATTCATTCACATTCATAAAAATGTCATTATCCTGTTGGTACATTTGAGCATTGATAGCAGAGTGTGTTTTTAGCTGATACCAATAATCTATCCAAAAATCAGCCGATAAACTGGCCATTATATATCACGCTATCACTAGTGAAAATATGCTCACACACATGACAGTGAGTCAAAGGAGTGGAAATAATCAAAAAAATGATGCAACGGGATTAGTGGCATGAAACAAAGACAGACAGAGAGACAGAAGAAAAGAAAAGAAAAGAAAAGAAAAGAAAAGAAAAGAAAGGGCAAACTTGCTCGTTACATGTGAAGCTGCTAATCTACATGGCCCCCCCGCTCACTGGTTAGTGCTGCAGCGCCGCAGGGCGAATCGTCCCAAACCCTAATGGCCTCTGACTGTTCCCTGGCAACTCTACCATTTGAACCTGTGCGGATGTGAACTCCAGCACAAAACATGAGGACGGCACGAGGAGAGGGGGAAGGGGAAGTATCCCATCATGCACCTCTGAGATGGGGGCAGATGAGGGGGGGGCTATTAGGAGACGCCCAAAGGCCTCCAGCTGGACTGCTTACAAATAGTACACATGTATTAACAGAAAGAACAAAATAATAACAATAGTAATAATAATAATATATATTAAGTATTAAGCATGTAGTGCAAAATGATTAAATCAGGAAATAGCTCATCAATATAATAATTACAAGCTGGCACTTTTTACAGCATAGGCAAGAAGTCATGTTCTGTAGACGCTGAAGCAGAACAGTTGGTTTAGAGTTGAGCACTAGATTGAAGCTGTGCTGATGATTATACAACACATGTAATCACAACAACTGCAATGAGAAAAGAGTAAAAAGGCAAATCAAGTGGGCTGAAGCGCTTCACATTTTCCAGCCTTTGTCTCGAAGAGAGTCGCAGTCACCGATTAGTTAGCTCGGACATTTGTTTCAGGCTAATGGGGCATGAACGTGGAGGCAGTGCCATCAGAGGCTGAGCTTAAAGACACTAATTACAGCCTCCTGCTGAGACGCCGTCCACAGCACCATTCCTGCTCCTCATGGACTGAGCTGAGGGTGTTCTCGGTGGAGAGCGGTGATCCGGACCACTGCACTCACCCGCAAACAGAGACCGCACACCTCAGCCCTGCGCCCAACATGACTACTCACATTCACTAGCCCTCCCATCCAGAGAAGTGTTTACCTTATGGTAATCACTCATCCACTCATGTTTTCATCATATCTTGAGTTTCAGCTTGATTTTCTTTATCATTGATTACATTCAAAATTGTACTTTTTATGTTGTACATTTTATCAGTATAGTCAACACAGACGAGCAGCAGAGTTAATAGACTAGTCAACCACTTCTCCAAAAACATACACGAGCAACAGTTCATTTAGCTCTGAATAACCTTCACACACACATCTGCAGAAACACTCGTGTCCTCGGACAGCTGCGCTCTCACAGTCATTCTCGCCATGCTGTTTTCCTGCAGATGTAATGTGCGGTCGTTGGCACTGAAGAACTAAAGCTTCTCTTTTGGTTGTAAATGAAGTGGAATAAAATGCTTTAATTAGACGTCTGTATAAGGAAGCAGTTTAATGACACACACACACACACACACACACACAGTCGTGTCAGTGTCATCCCAGGAATGCTGCGGATTTCTGAATCTCCAAACCCCGTGCCGAACAAATGGAAATGGGGCAGACCTCGTGAATGACAGGAGAAAGTAAAAGGAGCATCAGCGTTCAAAGGTCGAAGATGATAATCATATGCCAATAGTGTTTCAGAAGAGCCAGTGTGAAGCGCTTGAGTAATTACACGTGTAATTAACCTGCTACCTGTAACGGCAATTATCTCATTACATCATAAACAGCATCTGATCGTAGTGCTGCATTCCCGCCGCCCCTCATCTCGTCTCTTCATTAGTCTGCTAATCACTCTGATGAGTTTATGAGACATTAAGTGCTGCGGCTGTTTCCTGCATCTCTGAGCTTCTGGCCCATGTGAAAGACAATCACAGGGAAACAACATCCCGAGAGACGGTTTAAGGAAGCTGCGCATGAACCTATGCTAACTAATTCAACACTAATGCAAAAACAGGCACGGATGCAGGGCAGAAGCACAGTTCCCGAACATGTTCCAGGAGCACCACCAACACGGCCCATTTTGCATGTCTCCATAATCAATCACACCTGAATCAACTCATCAGCTCATTAGTAGAGACTCCAAGAGCTGAAATGGGTGTGTGAGAGAAAGGAGACGTGCAAAATGTGCAGTGATGGGGGCCTCCAGGAACGTGGTTGGGAACCAGGCTTGGTTCTACGGGGGTGCTAGAAAAAACGAAATCAACAGCATCCTAAGTTAAATCTGTAATAATGGCATTTCATTGCAGATTTGGCAAACTATCCAGTGTGTTATGGTTTGTGCTCTGGGAGATCGGCGTTGAGCAGCATTGAGCAATGTAGCCCACAGACATATCTGCTTATTTCTTGAACGCAACAGACGATCAGTTAGAATTACATTAAGTTAGAATCCCCTCACCGCTATAAGCGCTGGAGTTTTTGTTCAGGTGCTGTGTTCAGCACGAGTCATTTCATTATAACTGTGTACGCAATGTAAATAAGACATTCATTGTGCAGCATTGAGAATTTAATTGATTATCATGTAACTTTGTGAGATCACGATGAACTGAGGGACAACTTTTTAGTGATTATAAAGGAAGCGTTGTTTGCACCATATTGAAAATTTAGTGTTTTCTATCATCCTCTTGCATTATCAACACACTATTTTCCTGTTTAATACTGTAAAGCTGCTTTGACACAATCTGCATTGTTTAAAGCGCTATATAACTGATCTGTCGCTGCGAGCAAAACTGATACCGGTGAATGCCTATGAGTGTCCACCTTAGAGTCTGGTGAAAGGACTGAAATTCACACACCCACGACAGCCCAAGCACACTCCAGCTGCCCCTAAACACACCCCAACACATGCTACACGCCCCACAAACCCAACACACACCCTACACTCTTCCTGCAGCCTGTCATCCAAATCAAATTACAATAATTGGCCCCAGAGGTTACTGAGGTGCATCCGAGTCTATTCTCTCTCTCCAGTCAGTATCAGCACACACTTGTATTACGACGGAAAGCAAATAATGAGTGCGCACATGAGAGCCACTGGAGGAGCCGCAGCACTTTCACACCGCAGTCATTAGAGAGTTAATTACTAAGATAATTACTACAGCAAATTACATCAATTTTCACCAAAACAGGATTTCTACGGCCTGTGAGCGTGACATTATAAACCACACGAGCAGAGGGAAAGACTGGAACAAAGCTGCGCTGGACTCGACTTCACTCACTCATCGAAGTCCTGCCCCGAACCACTATGAAGATTGTGGAGGGTCCGATTCTACACATCACCACACCAAACCTGCATTTATGGAGATTCTCCACCCTCAATTGCACTTCAGACTAACACAGACCCGGCAGACACCTTGGAGTTATTACACACAGAGCCGGGCATCAGTGATGGGCTTTCGAGGGCCGTTAGGCCACGAGACACGAAGAGGTTGAAGAATTAAAGGTTCTACACCAACAAGTCAACCATCAGATCGCGGGCTCCATTCGGCAGGTCTCTCTCATCAGCCGTCTGCCCTGAACTTTCGCTTACAAATGTCCTGGAGGCACAGAACAAAGCAAGCAGAACTG